CTTAGCCTACTTTTAAAGAATACTTAATTTTACATGGTTGAATTAAGGTTGCAAAACATGTGCCTACGACTATACGGTATGTCATTACACAACAACAAATTTTTAGGTCTGTTTTTACCGTTGTTTACATTTCACTCAGATATTCTGGTTTAATGCCATTGTATGAAAAGGACTCAAACAATTTTAGAGCAGTCTCCAGTTTGAAAATAGGCCTGAACAACAACACAACAATGGACTTTGCAATTTAATCTAACACCATGAAGGCATACAGTATGGTACACTCTCTACATACCTATATGTATATTTTCTTACTTGAGAAACACCATTCCAAATGCAATAGTTCAGAAGGTGTTTTTGCGACGACGTATCTACGACACAATTCCGGTAGTTCACATACACGCTTTCTTCAACCGTAATTTGGATATTATGAGACAGGTGCACAGCCATCCAGGTATCTGAAGATAAATTGTTGCCAAGGACTTTAGTGCCCTACCAGGCTAAACCTACAAATTATTAGTTCAGCGGTCACCCCTTATTAGCATTCACCCTCATATTGGTCTTGCACTGGGGCCGAAACGGTATCCGACCAGTTTGTCAAAATCCAGTTTGCCGAAACCCATGATTGCCGAATTAATGCCCCCTTTGCTGAAACCCAGTTTGCCGAATCCAGTTCACCGAAATCATGAAAACCCAGTGTGCCGAAACCTAGTTTTCCGAATCATTTGCCGTCACCATCATACAAATCGTACAAAAGTACAGCATACTGTGCTTTTTAAAACATGATGGGTGGATCAGGGAGAAGCCAGTACGTTCATGTATTTGTACCCGTGTAAACGCTCCGCATTGAATAAACGAACCTTCTATTATGGAAATCCAAAAGGACAAATTACAAATGGCGCAGGGCAAAAGTCAGTCGCAGTGCAAAAGTCAAGTGGCGCGGTGCAAAACTAAGTGGTGCAGTGCAAAATTAAAGTGGCGCAGCTGTGCAAAATAAAAATGCGTGTGCCACCACTTTATTTTTGCCTTGCGCCACTTGACTTTTGCACTGTGTCACTTGACTTTTGCACTGCGATTGTAGTTTGTCCTTTTGGCGTGGCCAAAAGGACTATCCTACAAACTACTACAATCGCAGTGCAAAAGTCAAGTGGCACAGTGCAAAAGTCAGGTGGCGCAGTGCAAAACTAAAGTGGTGGCACCATAGAGCTATTAAACTTATTATTCTTATTATATCTCTATGGGTGGCACACGCATTTTGAGTTTGCACTGCGCCACTTTAGTTCTGCCCTGCGATGGCCCTGCGCCACTTGACTTTTGCACTGCGCCACTTGATTTTTGTACTGATGTGCCACTTGACTTTTGGCGATATTGTATGGAACGCCAATTTGGCATCAAAATGGAAATGAACTAATTTTTACTAGGTCTATATTATTATTATTTCTTTGTTCTCGGTCGGAGGCATAGTGAGAATACAGTTCAAGTTGTTGAAAAGTAATATTTTGTAGGTAGTATTTTGAATGTTTTGCTAGATTGAAAATATTAACCAGGTTAAACTGTTTTTGCTCACTTTCCTCCATTCTAATAAGCAGATAAAATCATTTTTGAGAAATGCTATGAATTATATAAATATGTTCGTTTGTTCAAAACATTAAATAAAAATACTGTTTTGACAGTCGAATTTGTTTTACTATATATGACGAAATTATTGTCTAAGATTAAGATATTGCTGACCTGTTCACGAACACAGTATCCCTCTAGTTTAGCTTGCATATTGCATACTTAACTTGATATTAGTGAGCTATTATAGGTTTTGGCCTTGGGATTATATCATACATAAATAATTAAAATAATGGTTTAAGTACCTCCTGTTTATCAACAACAACACCACCACCTTTTAAATTACAATGCATTAACACAATAGGTGGATCCTTGGTGGATCAAATATTGTGCACCTTAAATCTTGTGGAGCATAACAGTATTTTCAGTAGTATTAACCGATTTGAATAGATGTGATTACGTACACTATTTCCATTTACGTTAGTCCTAAAACCAGTGTCATTATGATACGCCTGCACTTCCAAGAATCTATTGGATTGTTTTTTTTAACTTGATTGTATACATAACCATATCTTGGATGAAAAAACATTTTAGCTTTAAGCTGAGTTGCTCAAGATCATTATTTTTCAAAGCCCAATGTTTGAGTCGTCTTACTAGTAGAGGCCTATAATCATAGAAACGTTAAATAATAATGAACTGTTCCGAAATATCAATCAAACTTTAATGACCAACTAGAAGAGGACGCGTATGTCCTACATGATAGAACTTATATTTCAAACTGTTATTAAATTCAATTTACACGATTTCAGGCCTCAACCACTTTGTTAGACCATTCTATAAATAATATCTCGGCATTATTATGATGCGTAGGTTTGCGGTATGCATTTTTCCTTTTATTTCTAGTTCTTAAAATATTATTAAAAGCTCCCAGATTGAAACAAGAATCGGGCAGAAAATAAGCCGTTGATTTGTATATCATTATCCAGAAGCTACACTGATTTGAACACTAAGCTCGTGCGTGTGAATGAATGATTTTTTGAAATAAGGACTGTTCTATTAAAATAATCGTCTTCTAATTACTATTTTGAAAATCTTTTAGTTGTATCTCATAATCTTTACTCAAAAAGAAGAAATATATACAAAAATATAACCCGACAGTATTGAAAAGGATTAAGCTAGCTATTTTGTTACGTTGTCATTGTCCGAAGTCAGCGAACCATCAGAACCAAAACCAAAAATTGGACTAGAATCGTTTAAAATTAATGATCAGTTGATAACCACTTTCTCATTAATTAAACTTGAACCACAAATTTAAGGAAAATAGTCTTATCGGCCAAGCCTCTCCTTATGCACAGAAAATGGTATAATGAGTGAAACATTGTATACGTAGGTCAACTAGTAATATGAGTGATATAACAAAACATGTATCAATGTCACATATAATACAGTACATAGAATATGATTTATGAATAAAGCAAATAAAATTTTCCTCGAAATACTTGTAAAATGTTTACATTTTATGTTACCTTTAATATTATTAATTTCACAATAATACACTAATAGTGAGCTTGATCAAACTTAATGTTTTTTTTTTTTTGTTTTTTTTTTGTTTTTTTTTATGGTTGATGATGGACATATAAATTGTTTGAAAACGAATATGCCATAATATAATGAAACATTATCAGGGGCGGATCCAGTGATCTCCAAAAAAGTTGTGGGGGCGGGGGCGGAAGGGGGGACGAAAATAGGACTGATCGAGAAAAAAAAAACTATCCTAGCTGGTCTGGGGGAATGCCCCGCGAAATTCTTGTTTTCTAGACGCCTGAAAATAACCTCTGAGGCGTTTTAGGTGATCAATTTTCTTACTTTTCTTTCTTTACTTTATATTCATTTTTTTCCTTTCCAAAAACAAAAAGGGGGGGGGGGTGGGCTGGCCCGCCCCCACCTCCTAAATCCTCCCCTGATTATTCCTAAGTAGGGGTCATGGATTGTTCAGATCGCAAAAGTAGATGACAATTGCAATCTTCAATGGACCTCTCTGCTAAGCCCCGCCCCTTGGATATTGTTGCTAATAATCACATGCGTTCGTGGGACAGCACGAGAGCTTGTTAGACAAGCTCGTATTCCTCCCCCTGTTCTGTTTGGTCAGTGGTTAAGTTTGATTGACACTCCGGATAGGTCTATTTAATTATTAAACATTTCAATAGTAAATATCTACAAAGAGGGCTTCCCACTTTGTTCACTACAATTCATGGTAGCTTTCAACTTATATGAAAAGAAATATATGCGATGTTAGCATTATAAAGCTTTATATCCAAACAACGTCTCATGAGACACATTTGTGTAAATTGCACATATATGGGCATGATGACACATCACATCTATATGGGTATGATGTCATATCATAGACCCTACCCATGGGCAAATCACAACTATTTAGCTTTAAGTTTTGATAATGTGGATCAACAAAAATAGGACTAGTTTATCTGCTGATGGACCTATAGATAGATGTGGACTACCGCTACGTAGTTTTTTTCTAATTCGTTAGTCAAATGACGTGTTTGAGTTAAATTGGAATAATGTGTTTTTGTTATATATTTTTAAAATATATTTAACAACAAAAGTCAAGTACTACGCAATATTGTAGACAATGCAGTGTAGATTATCCAGTATAAGCCTATCAGCACCTTGTGGCGGAATAGTTTTGTATTGAAAATCGGTTCGATTATAATGAATACGAATCGGGATTAGTTGACGTAAATAAAAAATGATAGGCATAGTATAAATTAAATTTCACTGCCCATAGCTATTATTACGCCTGGCATGATCTTGCTCGTTCAGTCATCTCGAAACAAATCAATGTAAGTTGCTTTTTACATATATTTTTGTTAGGAAAACAAATTGTTCTCATCGAGACTCCATTTCAAATCATGCTTTGTTTTTGTTTTTTTGTTTGTTTGTTTGTATTTTTTTGTTTTTTTTTTGTTTGTTTGTTTGTTTTTTTGTTTTTTTTTGTAAAACTATTTATCATCTTTGATATCCTTGATAAAATTATTTTCCCATACCTGGGTTAATATTTTTATTATTATAAAATTGTACAATTTGATTTTTAAAGTCCTGGGTCTGAAGAATCTGTTCGTTTATTTTGTTATAGAAATTCCGTAAGCAATATTTGTTTTAAAACCCTAGGTCACCTGAGCGTTAAAGGATAACCCCTTGCTATGGCGGTTTCAAGGAGAACACAGTCGGCCCGGGACCCCAGTAAATATTTCAAAGTTATTTTTAAAGATTGGAGAAAAAAAACTGAAAATTATATTAAAATTCTGAAAGTGCCATTTCCGGCCATCTAAAGGCGACGAACTTTTAATTTTTCTTACCTCAGCCCCAACCATGGTTGGGCCTGCTGTATATCTGTGAAGGTTCCTCTATGGGCACCCTCTATTTCGAATTTCCGGATCCATCACTGCAAGGACCATCCCATTTGTGCGAAGGTCAGGGAAAATCCTTGATCCGCTCCTGACTGACGTCAAGATTGGTATGCCAATCGATACGGATTTGCACTGCACACCTTAGCCACATTATAAAAGAAGCCGGTAAGGTGTGGTAGCACACATTTTAATAGTTCCGATGTCAATGATCACGTCATCTACTACCTCAATTTTGAAAGGTTGTTAATTTTACTTTGTTAGGCAAGTAGATTTTAAATTTTTATTTAGGTCCGAAGTCGAATTATTCATCCATATTACTTGTGTTTGTATTTCTTACGTTATAATATTACAGCGATATTTCATACTATGTAATTATAGGATTAATCAAATTAAAATGTGTGTGCTTAATAATTTAAGAGCAACGAATTAAAAAGCCTAGGCCATGGCATTGGTCATTAGGAAAAATTCTGGCATTTAACAGGAATTGAACCGTGAATGAAAACTGGAGGGCTGAAACTTAACAACCACATCGAGATAACATTTTAAAACTACCAACGCATAACTTTAATTATCACTTCTTCATTTCGGCAGAAAATTAATATAAAATGTGTTTTAAGCTTTTGATTGCGATAACGGCTCTATTGCTCAATCATGCGGAGGGTAAAACTTGTGGTAGCACGACGGGAGCAAGTAGTGAATGGAATAACAAATACGCCGATATGTGGTTCAGCATTCCCGTGACGTCACAGATAACGGGAGGGTGGACGGTGGAGATGGAGTTCTCAGCCCCTGTCCAAAATATTCAGGTAAAATAAATATGTGCAACTGTGTACGAGAAAAACAACTACATTAATACTTTAGCTTGTTACAAAAATTATGATGATGAGTACGATGATGATATTGGTGATTATATAATCAATCAAATCAAATCAATAAACCAAACCATCATCAATCAATCATTCAATCAATAAACAAACCAACCAACCAAAGAATCAATCAATCGTTTTATTTATAGGGCACCATAACTGTTAAAAAGACCAACGTTTAAGAGTTATAGACGGGAAAATATTTATTTTTTACCTAATTTTAGACCTATAGGTCTACCTCTGGAATTTGGACAATTTTTTCAGGTTTTCTATTATAATGCTGAAAAATACTTGATTGATTGTGGGCACCATATTTAATATTCTCCAACGAAAATTTATCACCCCAATATTTTGCGTAAGAATTTATTATTATTTTAATGTCGCTGTTAGTTAAAAATGACCAAAGAAAAACTCTTGCTGATACCGTAGCAGTATATAGGCCTATTTTACTGAAAAATAGTGATTTTTTTTTTACCACCGCTAATCATCAAATTTAATGTAGTGTTACATATTGATCTAAGAAAAAGGTGTTTAAATTTTAGGGTAAAAAGGTCAGAAAACAAGGTCAAGGTCACATACATTTGAGAAATATTCTGAAACTTAATTCTCAAGCATAAAGAAAATAATGGAATCACCCATAAACGCCCTGTGTCTTATTCAGTATTCAGGAAGAAGATATCTGCACTCTATGGACTACTCTAGTTTATTCTGTTTTGTCTTCTTCAGATTTGGAGTGCTAAATTGGACAGCATTAGTTCTGATTCGATGACACACACACTGACCAACAAAGACTGGAACAAAGACCAGTCTGCTGGCAGTGTTCTGTGGATGAACTTCTTGGTTGAATTTAATGGACCCCCCACCCCTACTTTTATTGTAAGATTAAGTGGTCAACCAGATTGTTCAGATTCGACGGCGGCACCAATTGACCAGACCACCACAGAACAACCAGCCATTTCTACAACAACAGGTGGGGGCACTTTGGCTCCAGAAGTAACCTTGCCAGATTCAGGTAATCAATTTAGCTGAAATCGTAGAGTATGGATCGCTTCGTCAGTTAAAGACAATTTGACCTAAACTACAATGTGTATAGTCAGTAAGGTACTATAACGAATTATTATTAAATGGTTATTTCTCCTTTTCAGGATCATTTGATTACTACGATGCCCTCTATAAATCCATCTTGTTTTACGAAGCTCAAAGATCAGGAGAGTTGCCACCCAACAACAGAATCCCATACAGAGGCGACAGTGCTCTCAATGACAAGGGTGACAATGGAGAAGACCTAACTGGTGGATGGTATGATGGTACATACAAACAAAACAGCGATTAAGCAATCAATCAATCAATTAATCAATCAAATTGGATATACGGAAATCAATTAAGTTCTTCCACCCTCTTTGATATGTATATTTAAATTATTTTTTATTTCACCACATTCTTATTTTGTTTTATTTGGGTCTAGCTGGTGATTTTGTCAAGTTTGGACACCCAATGGCGAGCACTGCTACCATTTTAGCATGGGGATTGATCGAGTACAGGTCCGGCTACGTTAACGCAGACCAGCTAGACATCATGCTTGATAGTATCAAGTGGGCTACTGATTACTTCCTGAAATGCCATACCGGGACTTTCGAGTTTTACGGCCAAGTAAGACCGTTAATAACGTTGCAATGTTTTTTTTAAAACTTATTTTTGTCAAAAACTTTATTTAATAGGTCCTATTTGATAAAATTTGCATATATATAAACAATCAATTGAACAGGGCATCAAAATAAGTGAACCAATAGTCAATAAGTATGGCAAGTATAACAGTACATTGTTAATAAAAAGATCAAATTAAATTAATTGAAATCATAACAATAAAAAACACAATAATAATGAGAATAATAGTAATTACAAATATAATATTATTAACTATAATGATTGTGTCAGTAAATTGACAGAGATGCGATGGTATTATTTAAAATATAATAAGTGTATCCATTGGATACATGATAAGTGCATCAAGTGGAAGTATTGTACTTCCAAAATGACCGAAAAGACACGCAATGTACGAATTATCCTTCGCTTGATCAAAAGCTGGAAATTAGGGGGGGGGGGGCCGTTGTACAACATTCACTTGGTCGTTGTTTCACTCCTATTTATCTCTTTCAATTTCTGTTAGTCATGTTGATGTCATCTCACTTATCATATCGAATCTTGTACGGATTCCTTCTTACCATTGGGCGAATTTGTTTATCTTTTCTACAGTTGGTGCCATGCGAGTCTGGGGTAACGAATATGCCTAATATAATTATTTATTGACTGTCAAAGTGTGTTGATAATCTAAAATTAAAATTATTTCAATTATGAACATTTTAGGTGGGAAACGGAGGATTTGATCACAGTAACTGGGGGCGACCGGAGGAAATGGACGAGTCAAACCGGCCTGCATATGTGCTGACTCCCAGTAAACCAGGTTCTGATCTATTAGGCGAGACTGCCGCTGCATTAGCTGCTGCTTCCATAGCTTTTACACCAACAGGTTGGATCACTGTTTATTTTTATTTTGGGTACATGACGAAATAAATAATAACAATTAATGATTTAGTTTGTATTTATTTATTTATTTATTTGAAAATATTTTGAGAGGATGGGTCTAACAGCAATGCTGATTTGAAGAGGCCCTCTTTCAAAAAAAGAATCCACATTATATTCCTCACACGCACACCCCACCATAGATTGACACTAAGGAGGCACATCCCTGATATATGGTCTATGCTTCGGCAAAGCACGGACAAATTGTAAGCATGGGAAGTGACCAAAGTGACGGCCAGAAGAAAAAAGTGCAAAAAGATAGGGAAAATATATGCAAGAAAAAAGAAAAAAGAAATCAGAAAAAAAACCCCAAAAAACAATGGCTTTTCCCAGTACTATGAAAGCTTAAAGTAATTTCAATTATTGGTTTGGACGTTATGATTCTGTGATTTGATTTAGCCATATTCACCAATAGAAATTGCTACAACTGATATTACTATACTTCATAAATATAATGGAATTGCCCAATGAAATGTTATATACTGTAACAAATTATTATTTATGAGGTAGAGAAATATTCACTACATTACGTCACCATGTATTTCGCAAAGCGCACATCACATCAACGTAACAAATTATTTAACGGCACAAACAGACCCGTTTAATACATCGTTCACACATTCAACTCGTATTTCGTATTACACAACTCTTAAAAGGCATCTTACCGTATCCAAAAATAGGATTCTGGAGAGCTTGAGTATATTGCCGAACTAGGTCAAAATTACTCTTGTCGGACATTGGGTGCTATCAGCCATTGGTCATCTGTCAACACATCGTACGTTGTGCCTGTCAAATGAAATGAACTGATGAATTGAACCTTAACACATTCCAAATTTACGGAATTTCACTTTCACAGCTAAGAGTATATATCTGCGCAAGCGCAGTATACTCAACAATGCATAGCCTAACCAATTAATTATTACCGATATCAAAATGAAATTTAAACTAAACTATGGGGTAAGAACCCAGATGAAAACGCCAAGATGGAAAAACCAGCCCAATAACATAAAATAATAAAATATACATTACAGCGTTGGTTGCCTATCGGTGTGCAGAGACCACTATTAAAACATACCAACCTTTTATACGGTACAACTGCCAGTCCCTTACGCTTCCGCGAATGAGAGTGACCTTCTATATTGAGAACATAATTTTGTTCTAAATCACGTATATCAACAGTACTATTACCATTGCTAATTTTGCCACTGCCGCCGATGTTTTAATAGCATTAGGCATAGCGCGTGACAAAGACAAGGCTCAACAAGGCCTACTTTTCTTCCGAGATATCAGAAGGTTCTATTGTAAATTTATCATTTATGGCCTCAATATAAAGAGATATTCATTGCACCGCATTGAGGTGCACTTTTTTATTTAATGCTTTGTCATTATGTACGGTATTATATTATGTTTAAATTGTTATTATGCTTTATTGTTTTATCTCAGACACAGATTATGCCACTACTTTACTAGATAATGCCCGTGACCTGTACACATTTGCTAAAACGTATGAAGGAAAGTATTCCGACTCCATACCCGATGCGGCCAGCTTTTACAGGTAGGGGCCTACTGGTTCACTACACATTATAAACAGGACCCTGACTATTAATAAAATGCTCTTAATCGTCATATTCATACATACGCATATAGTAAATCTTCTTTTTAAAATAAGTATGTTATTCACTATACCTCATAAATAAATATTAATTAGGTACAGTAATGGATTTACACTAATCGATTCCACGCGGTAAGGGGTGTGGTAGTTTGTACTACTTCCCAGCGCGTGCCAAATTTACGCGTACGTGGGGTGACTACCGTGTACCCCTGCCTATATAAAGGTGTATGCAACTGAGAAATTGTGTCCCCTCACATATCGAAAAGGCTAAATGTAGACGGGTGGTTTGCTGTTTGAAGTTATGAGGCATAGGCCGAGTAAAACAAATAAAACATGCTTTTATTTCGGTAAAGCAGTGAATTCCTCTTCCCTTGTCGTTGGATGATTGGGACAACCTTCTTCGCCTCTAATCCAATACCTCAGGAAACTAATTAATTCTACGTCTAGAATTCACTACTTTACCTCAAATAATAACAGTACTACTAATGTGGCACATCATCCTTTTTATGTTTTATCCTATAACTTGAAACCGAAACAATTTCCCCAAGAAAACATGGGTAATTAATTATAGATAGTGAAGTTATGGAGGTAATGCTAACATTAGAATGCCAAGTATTGGTTGGCTTCGTTTGGTGTGTGTCACACCAAGTAATACAATCTACGACGACTTATTGCCAGTGGTTCTTACGGTGGCAAGAACAAAAAAATGGGGCCTAGAACAATCCTCGAGTGATATTCTTATCTGGGTTGTTAAGTGCACACTAGTCATCTTGTGTATCCTCATCCTAACACCATAGGGCCCTGTCGAGAAGATATGGTTTCAGCTCAATCCTTGGAACCAGTGGATCCTGCTCGACCACTCGCTCCACTACTTACAGCGGCTGGTGTTCCCAATAGTGATTTTCTGACAGTGGGTGGTGGGGGGGGGGGAACACAATATGAAGTTCACGCCGCCACGCCCAACTCCGCCCCACCATGGTTGGTGTAAATAAGTGGTAAACAATCGAGTTCTCCTTTCTCCCACTGCTGGATCGCCACTGAACTCATGGGTGCACTCCCATTTCCCCCTCTTATACACATCTA